TCGTCCCGATCTGCACTGGGCAACGGTCGATTTGGCGCCTGGGCGATTCGGAAGGCGCCAAACACTCCGCATCGGACGGCCGATATCGATGAAACAAGGGAGATCTACCATCTGGCTATTTAACATAGCCATGGAAAATGGCAATCTATAGTGAGTTTTCCCATTGAACATGGTGATTTTCCATGCTATGTACATGTTAGTTTACCAGAGGGTAACAACCGCAACCAAGACATACTGTGGATGGTTGCGAAATCCTGCACCAGTTGATAGATGGTTTATCCCAGTATTTATATGGTTTCAACCATCCGTTTGGTGGTTTATCGGATTTCGCAACCATCCACAGTATGGAGGGTTTGAATGAAGACACGAGATTTTAAAAAGCCCCAAGTTCCCAAGTCCTGATTTCAGTGTGATTGAATCACTGATGATCGTCTTAATGCAGGATAAAACAAGAGATGAACCTTTGGTTTGGTGATATATCGCTACCAACATATCAAAAAACCATGTGTAAGTCATGTGTAATGCGTAAGTCATGTGGCAACCCCAATAATAAACCATCCCCAAGTCAGAGGTCTATCCCCTAGCAGCTAGGGTGTAAAATGACCGCCATCCTGAAGGGCAAATCGACCGATGGCATGCCGCTTTTGAACGCACACGGCGCAGGATTCGGTCCGTTTCTGCCAGCTTCGATTCCGCGTTGCGCGCTTTTGGCGGAAATGGAGCCAACATGATCCAATCCAGTGAGTGTGGTCAGTCCAACAATATCAGCCTTCCAAATTCCGGATCGGTGAGAATCACACAATCATTTTGGGATTTGTTCAAAATAATGTAGCCTGAAATGTCAGTATAGTGCAACCCATCTTTACTCCATGCTGGGAATTAGATTTCTGAGGGCGTCAGCCAACAAAAACGAGGGTTCCGACCGGCATATGGACAAAGAATGACAGTCGATACTTAGCTGAGATATATGAATGTAGATAATGTAGAAAACCCAACAATAGACCTATCAAACTAGGGGATTGAAAATAGTTTCAACAAAAGAGTGATATCTTGGGGATGAGGTACCCTTTATTGGGTTTATCACATGAATTCTTGAGGTACCCGGTGACGGTTGTCGTCTGCGGTTGTCGTCCTCGTGGCTCGCTGGGACATCTCCATTTTTTTAGGTCCGCTTCGCTAAGACAATCAAGGAAAAATCAATGGGAATTCCAGGATTTTGTGGGGATATTCCCTTACATAGGCCAAAAATATATGGAATCGGTACCTCCAATCAATCGGATCCTGAGTCATGGCCATTGATTGTCCAGCCATCTTTGACTACAGTGATGACCATGGCTATTAGTTATAACTGGTTATTTCATGTTATTTGACCTGGGTTATACATAAACCATAAATGAAGTTTTGTTAGTAGTTGTAACTGGTAAAAGGCCATAACTGTACCAAAAGGATCCAAAGAGTATACCCAAAAATGTCATTTACCGAATACCCCTCCGGTAAACTAACATAGCTATTGAACATGGCCCATGTATAGTTGATTTACCTATTGAACGTGGTGATTCTCCATAGTTATGTAAACGTTTACCAAAGGGTACAGCCAATGTCTAAGTTCAACAAACCATGATATTCATGATATGTGTATATATATATATATATTTATATACATGATATGTACATGATATGTATATGATATGTATATGATATGTATATGATATGTATATGATATGTATATGATATGTATATGATATGTATATGATATGTATATGATATGTATAATATATATATATATACCATATATAAGGTTCCATGACCCCAAAGCTTACCCAACATTTCCATTTCAGTTTCCAGGTCAGGTCTGGCTCCCAGATCCGAACAAGACGCGTCCGGTCGTGTCACACTTGGTGTCACCATGACAGCCACACAGCCGGGGCAGGTCTCTCTCATTTCAGGAATCTAAAATGGAGGTACCTACCAAAAATAAGGCCTATTTTTCAGGCCTATGTAAGGGAATATCCCCAGAAAATATGGCCTTATATGGTACAGTACCTCCAATTTAGGTTCCTGAAATGGCCATTGACTCTCTGTGTTCAATCTTATGATGGCTACGAGTACAACTGGTTGGTTGTTGACCTACCCCTGTGAAAAATATTAGTTATTAGTCAGTTGGGATGATTATTCCCAATATATGGAAACAAAACATGTTCCAACCCACCAACCAGACAATGTGGGGCCCCTAAACGTGATGTGAATGTTGGTTCATAATGGTTAACAAAAGCCCCAGTAACTAGTTCGTTATAAACCCCATAAACAATTTTGTGAAATTGGAGTTATAAACACACCAACTTAGAAACGCTATCGAACGGGGGCCTCACTATCTGTACAGTAAGCTTGAAAACGGTGAAACGAGATGAAGCAAGTAGAATTCTTGGCTGAATAGTATAGATCGATATCCCGTTGCCATGAAATCAGGCCCATTGCCATGGATGAAAATGAACCATTGAACTACACACACGCACTGGGCTTCTCAGCTTGTCACACATTATGATCCTTGTCCCATGAATTTCATCACATGGCTTGGGGAATCAGGACACCAAAAACACACTCCCTTCTAATGTGGGTAAAACAATGTCATTTTTACCATCCAGTCGACTGGGAATGGTAAGTAAACATAGCACCTATAAAAATGGTGGTGACTGGGGGATACTGCAAATGACATTGTTTTACCCACATGATCGGGATATGAGTGGTTTAACATGGTTTAACTATGGTTTATGGTAGATAACTACAGTATCCATGGGGTTTTTAAACCAATAAACATAACCATAATGAGACAATGGCATCATCCGCACAAGTTAGCAAAGTTGAGAAAGCAATCAGCCTTCTAGCACCTGGGTTCCTGGGTAGGTGGAAAGCATCGAACATAAATCCCTTGTTGCAAGCAAACACGAAGACATTCTGTGGCAAATCAAGAACTAGGTTGATGATATGTTGAAAGCACTTTGATGTGTTTTTTTGGCGTGCCACTTTAATGTTCAAGATTCTTGAAGTTTCTTAAGTTCAAATTTAACTGATGATTAACTTCTGATTAAGTTCTTGTTAGGTTCCAGCTCTTTCTCAGTGAAGTAGATGTACACTCGAATGTGGGGAGCGTGCCGAATTTCCAGGTGGTGGAGGAGCAGCCTAACGTGCAAATACTACCTATGAAATGGAGAGGTCTGTGCACAATATGCAATTGTAGTATAGGTGTTCATAATATATATATATATATAATATATATATATATATATATTGTATATATATATATATACACATGTATACATACAGTGTATGATATTCCTGCACATACATGTATGTGTATAATAATATTATATATATACACATGTGCCTGTGCATATACTCATAGATAGATAGATAGATAGATAGATAGATAGATAGATAGATAGATAGATAGATAGATAGATAGATAGATAGATAGATAGATAGATAGATAGATAGATAGATATAATATGTATATGTATCAATGTATCTTGCAAAGTAATAAACAACAAAGTCAATTATGATTGTTGCTTCCCCCCCAGTTTCTCCTGTGAAGCTGCCCACGCCGCATTGTCGCATCGCCCGCCGCAGCATACCCCGCAGCATCGCTGGTCGCCATCGGGGTTCACCCAACAGGTCCCTCGCCGTCATTGGCTCAGCTCAGAGATTCACACTGATCAGGTTTCAACGAAATATCAGTGAGGATACACCACATGTTTAAAGAGATTACCGAACGGTGCAGTTATAAACAGTTATAAGCACATAAAATTAGGTCCAACTATATACAAGATATAAAATGTTAATAAAATGTTATAAACAGATAAAAAACACATATGTCATATGTTTGTTATTATTCACCATTGTCAACAATCATTGTGTTCATAGCTAGAAACCCACTGATGCGTGATTGAGCCGTAAGACAAAATCAACAGATGTTCTTGTTGGTGGTTTCAACCCCTCTGAAAAATATTACTCAGTTGGGATTATGATTCCCAATATATGGAAAGTCATAAAAATGTTCCAAACCACCAAGCAGTGTTTCTTTATTTAACAGGAAACTGGTTTGCTCCATCCTCAAGTGCTGAATCCAGCCTTTATTGGTAATTCTTACAACGGGGACACGAAGAAACGAAACCGAGTCATGTTCATCCTGAAACGGTTGCTGTTGCCAATTTTGTGAGTTGGTCAACTCAATGGCCATGACTCAGGAACCGATTGATTGGAGGTACCGTCCATATATTTTTGGCCTATTTTTCAGGCCTATGTAAGGGGATATCCCCCCAATTCATATGGCCTATGGTACTAACGTACCTCCAATTTAGGATCCTGGAATTCCCATTGATCAACACTGAAGTGAGCTCACTGTTTGTTGCCATCGCTCAAGTGACGCTCTTGACTTCAGGATCTGGTAGCCTGGTGAACTCCGGTCCTAGCTGGGATTTATGGACCTTCATCCCACCAATTGTCTAATCATATAATGTGAGGCCCCCAAGATAGCTAAGTTGGTGCAAATAACTCCAATGTCACAAAATGGTTTATGGTATTTATAACGAACTAGTTACTGGGGCTTTTGTTCACCAACAAACATCACGTTTGGGGGCACCACATTGTAGGTTTTAATCCATCCCAATATGTCAGGATTTATTTCTGGAGCCATTCCTGCTGGGCTGAGAGTGTCCAGAAGCCACGCCACAGCGTGGCTTCCCTTCGCGTCATGGGCCATTGCAGGGACTGAGGTCTCGAATCAAAGCATTGCAATGAAACTTTGAAACTAAGACGGATAGGCATATATGTGGTTAATTTTATGATATCTATTCACGTGTATATATATATATATAAATATATACTTATATATAATATATATATATATACATATCTGTTGAGCCATGGTCCCTGCTCCGGGCACTCCCGTTGGTGGGGAGCGCCCCCGGCGGCGGCCGCCGGAAGGCGCTGGAGGGGCTGATGCGATGGAGGTCGACCCCGGCAGTCCTGCTGCTCCTAGGCGGCTCTTCTGCCCGGTGGGCGGTTGCCCTTGTGCGGATGCTAACTCCGCCCGTGGGTGGACCTCCGACAGCACCCTGCGAGCACATGTAGATGCTCATTTGGCGGGCTCGCTCAGTGGTCAGGTTCCTTCGGCTTGGCTTCAAGATCGCTCTTTGCAGCAGTGCTTGGTGTGCGGGTTGTCTGTGTCCACTCGCTTCGGCATCCATCCCACGTGCAGGCCTGCTGCTCGGGCTGTGGGCGGTGCGGTCGGGAGCGGCCCCAGGGACACTGATGGCCCTCTTCCGTCCTTAGCCGAGATCCAGTGCAGCTACACGCCAACTCTGCGGCATGTTCCCCCTAGCGCCCGCTATGCTTGGGGGCAAGCACTGACTCGGGCATGTGCGGCGGTGGCTGAATACAACGATGAGGCCGCTTGGGTTCATTTACTTATGCTGCCCAAATGTGTGCTATGCAGCCCCCGCCGGGGTGGCCGGAAACATCAGCGCACCGCAGCCGCCTTCACCATCGAACGCCTCAAGCGTTGGAATGATGGCGAGCGGGCCTCTTTGTGGGCCAGTCGGCCTCAGCCGCAGCGGCCCCATGGCCGTGACATGACGGCGGAGCAGAAGCGGGACTTCGCCACCGGCCTTGCCAGAGAAGGCTTCGACAAGAAGGCCTGCACAGCCTTGCTTTCGCACGGTCTCTGCGACCACTCCCAGGCAACAGTTGCAGCCCTGCGCGCCCTCCACCCCACATCTGCAGCACCAGTCGTCCCTGCGTTGGAGAGCTTGCCGTTGGCGCCCGGGTTCGATGTCGATGCGGTGACGCAAGCCCTTCGCCGCTTCCCTTCAGACACGGCGCCGGGGCCTAGTGGCCTCCGCGTGCAGCACGTCTTGGATGCTGTGGGGCATGGCGTCGGGCTCCTGGACCAGCTTGCCGCGGTTGTGAACCTCCTGGCCCAAGGGCGGGCTTGTCCAAGCATTGCTCCACTGCTCGCTGGTGCGGGGCTGGTGGCTTTGCCCAAGCCGTCTGGCGGTATCCGCCCAATAGCGGTAGGCGAGCTTCTTCGCCGCCTGACCGGCAAATGCCTCATGCAAGCGGTGCGGCCTGAGGCCCGGGACCACTTCTGGCCTGCCCAAGCAGGTGTTGCAGTGCCGGGCGGAGCTGAAGCTGCGGTCCATGGCCTGCGAGCTTGGGTCAGCCGCCATGCCGCTTCGCACGACTCGGTCGTGGTGAAGGTTGATTTCCAGAACGCCTTCAACACTGTCAGCCGTGATGTGGTCTTACAACAGGCCCGGGACAAGTTTCCCGCTCTGGCCCGCTGGAGCACGCGGTGCTACCAGCACGCCACCAACCTCCAGTTCGGAGACACGGTCCTCCAGTCCAACAGCGGAGTCCAGCAAGGGGATCCCTTGGGACCCTTGCTCTTTGCGGCTGCTCTCCATCCCCTGGCTGCAGCGCTTCGGACCACCGCCTTGGACTTTTCGGTGTTCTACTTGGACGATGGGGTGCTGGCTGGGCCCATTGATGCGGTGACAGCTGCCCTGTCTCAACTTCAGCAGGCTGCTGGTCGAGTTGGCTTAGTGTTGAACTTGGGCAAGAGTGAGGCCATCGCTGTGGGCATGACGTCTGCCGCGGCCATTGCGGCCAAGCTACCATCCCAACTTGTGAGCACTTCCGATGGCAACAATCGCATTCTCCGTGACTTTGAATTTCTCGGGGCTGGCATTGTGGGCCCGAGTATTTGCAAAGGCATGCCACTGGTCGAGTTGAGGGTGCCCGCAAACTTTTGGAAGCCATTGGTGCACTTGAAGATCCACAGGTTGCCCTTCGGCTGCTGCGAGCTTCCGCTGGTTACGCGAGGCTCGTGCATACCATGCGGTGCTGCCCACCCGCTGGGCACGAGACTGCATTGGAACAGTTTGACTACCTGGTGCAAGAATGTTTCAGCTCCTTCACTGGTCTGCATGTTGAGGCTTCTGCGTGGCAACAAGCAAGCCGTGGCTTGGGCCAAGCCGGCCTGGGGCTCCGCTCCACTAAGGTCCATGCGCCAGGTGCCTACCTTGCCTCAGTTGGCGCTTGTGCCCGACTCTGTGGTGAGCTTGATGGCGGCTACTGGTTAGACCATTCTGGAGATGTGGCCGCCGCTTTGTCGGCACTCAACGCTTGCCTGGACCCAACTCAGCAGCTCACTGCCGCCGCTGCCTTGGGGCTCACGCAGAAGGACCTCAGCCGCAGAATAGATGGTGCTGGGTGGCAGGCCCAACTCCACGCAACTTCCGCTGTTGGCAAAGCCACGTTGTTGTCGGAGGCAACGCCTGGTGCTCGGGCCTTTCTGACCTGTGCGCCGTCCGGCCGCACACGCATGGAGCCAGCGGTGTTCGTGGCTGAGATCCGGGTCCGTCTGGGCATTGCAGAAGCTGCTGCCGACACATGGTGCCCCAAATGCGATGCCATTCTGGACACGCATGGGTACCATGCTGGCATGTGCATGGCTGGTGGGGAGCGTACACTTCGCCACAACGCCCTTCGTGACCTGGTTCACAGTTGGGCCGAACGAGGATGTCTTCGCCCTGAGCGTGAGAAGGCTGGCCTGCTTCTCCCACAACGACCTGATGATGCGGCCAGTGCCCGACGCCGCCCTGCGGATGTGTTTCTCCCGTCCTTCCTTGGACGCCCAACTGCACTTGACTTTGCCGTCACGGCACCCCAGCGGTTGGACGCCCTTGGTGGTTCAGGAAACACTTCTGCTGCGGAGGCATATGGTGCTTACAAGCGCCGGCACCTGGACACAGCTGATGCATGCGCAGCCCAGCACGTGACCTTCCTCCCCATGGTGATTGAAACCACGGGCGCTTGGGCGCCGGAGGCGGCCCAAGCCTTGGCTCACATCAGCCGCGCTGCTGGAGGCGGCGCAGGCGGGCCCACCTTGTTGCAGGAAACCTGCGTGCTGGTGCGTAGCTGGAGGGGCCGTGCTGCTCTGCGGCGCCGTGCTGAGCTCGTTGCTTGAGCTTTGGTCGTTGTGCGGATGGCTTGCCGGACTCCGGCTGGGATGGCCACGTCGATCTCTTCTGGTCTTCGTTGTCTTCGACCCTTGCGTGCGGGCCGCTTTTTGCTGAGGCAGTGAGAGGCATCCTTGCTTTTTCCGACCATCTTTGGCTGGCCCTGACTCGGCCAAGCTGTGTCGGGCATTTGGCCTGCATGCCTCTTAATTTTTCTTCTCTTGGCCTCTGGGGTTTGTGCAGCGGGGCCTGGGTCCATGAGTGGCTCTGGTTTTGGGCATCGGCCAGGTTTTTTTCCACCTCAAGGGTGTTTTTTCCTGGTCGCTGCTCCGTTCTGTTTTCACAATACTACTCCATGGTGTCAGGAGGATGCCAACGGGGTTTATGAAACTCCAGGGTTGACAGCAAACTCAAATCTTCCAAGTCTTCTACGTAGTATATGTATATACATAGTATATATATAAATATATATATATATACATATCTAATATTAAATAGCATGTATCAAATTATATTGTATATATACATATATACACATCTGTATGGGCCGAAATGGAAGACATACTAGCAAAATTTTGGTCATTTTGTCTCAGTAGACCATTCCATTTTTGGATTGCACATGTTGTCCTACATCTATACTATTCTGTTGTCTCTGTCACCAATGATATTCTCTCCTTCAAAAAATAGATGTGCGTTCAATCCATGTTTGTTGTAGCAAAAATCCTCGTTGTTTATGTCTAACTCCGATTTCCCCATTTTCATGGGTTAAATCCAAATTCCGGATTTGTCAGAGTCTATATCACAGCTATAACTATTTACTATCAGTTTAGGAATAATATATAATACACATGTGTGTATATGCATATATATATATATATACATGGTAACCATCTATTGTAACTGTATTATCTATAACTACATTATCCATTATAACGGTATAATCTAATCTATTGTAACTATATCATCTATTAGTTCCCACAGTACTACATGACTATAATATCTCTATTAGATATAGTACAGTAATAAATTATACTATATGATGGTACGATTTTATACACTAATGATCTTGTTAATCTATTATACTATACTTCCCGGTTAGCACAGTACATCAGATTCACTTCGAATGGAACAGTTAGACCCCCACGATCCCTGCCAATCGTTTCGATCGCCCGCAGGCGACAAATGGAATGCAACAAACCCAGGAAGGCCATTGGTGGGGCCCGCTAGTTAGCTAAGTTGTTGCAAATAATTGGGTTTATAAACCAACTTATTAACTGGGGGGATACCACCTTGTATATACTACATAAATATTAGTATATATATATAAGTATGTGTATGTGGACATATATATATATATATACATATATATATATATGTATATATATACGTATTATATACACTGTATATATACACTATATCTTGACTATATTTATACTATATTTGGACCACAAACATTAATATTTTACCAAAGTAGATATACATAATATAGACATATATGGACATATATAACTTACTTATGTATACAGTATACATATCTATTTTGGTTGAAAGTCGGCAACTTGGCAAATATGACAGATCTTCCTGTGAAAGTTGTCCTTCTCTGGGTTTGTCAATTCTCAAAACTATGATCTAAGCAGCTTCCCTTCCGCTCCAGGCACACTCTACCGAAGATACCGAAGTTTCTGCATCCTCAAAGTCCTTTGATTGGGGGTTTCCATAGTCATGGGGGTACCCTCATAGCTGGATGGTTTATAATGGAAAATACCATGATATAAAATGGATATAACTAGGGCTACCCCCATGACTTAGGCAACCTCCATTGAACGCCCCCGAAGCCATACGGTCTTTTGAATTTGGTTTTGGATCGTCCTCTGCTACCTGGAAGCCAAAGGGACTGAACACGTCGCCACGTCACGTCGGACTGTCACAGGACGGATCTGACATGTTGCTTGACTCAGGTGGTAGTTGGTCCAGCAAACAGTTAGTTGCTTTGATCCACCAAAACCAGTGTTTTTTATGTGGGAAAGCCAGATGGCCATGACTTGATGGTAAAAATGGCAGCCAGGGCCTAAAAAAAAAACATGAGGAATTCACCCTTGCCTGGAAAGGGCTACTCAAAGGCGATGTCAATCATCATCTCATGTCTGATTCGCTTGGGGTAAACTAACATAGATGTGGTATGGTCCATTTATAGATGATTTATCTTGTAGAACATTGTCTGGTTGGTGGTTGACCTACCTCTCTGAAAAATATGAGTCAATTGGGATCATGACATTCTCAACTGAATGCAAACATATAAAACATGTTCCAAACCACCATAGAAAGTTGTGCTTTTCCAAATCTACGTTACTTTACAGGAGCTTACGCAATCTCGCTAGAAACACTCAAAAGACCCTATTCGGAATCAAAAAAAACTCTGCGTCACATTGAGATATTCAGAAAAGGCCAAGTCGCATGATATCTCCACGATATGAAAACCGGATGTCACCGGATGTCACCGGGTACCCGTTTTTTCAATCCTTGGGGATTCAACGTCGCCAGTCATCCACCTTGATATCAAGAAACGAAACGTACTAATTAAAAGAAACACATCAATAAAGACTCGTGCATGTTATGCATCATAAAGCCTATAGTTATATTAGATATCGAAGTTGCACCAAGTGAACGCGAAAAAAACGGGGGCCCCAAGGCGTGTACTTCCCGATTCTCCCGATTTCAATCAGCCACCACATCATCATCGTCCTCTGTGAAGTCCATCTCACAGTGTCGGGCTCAACGGAGCTTCGATCCTGATGCAAAAAATGGGAGGATGAATCTGTCTGCAAAAAAACTGGCATTAGTAACAATGATGTAAGCATTGTCAAAAATACCCATAACAATGGCCAATCTTGCGCAAAACAAATGGAACAATTCTTGGTGAACGTAATCCCATGGATACCGCCACTAAAGGATTAGTTTCTACCCATCTAGTCGATTCACATAACATGAGATCAACAAAATCACCATAAAAATTAGGGATCAACAGAAATGTGAAATTCAACAAGAAACACCATGGCAATGAAACCAGCAAAAATGCAGTTATGGCCCGAAATACAAGTTATAACTACATAATCCCAGTTATAATCAGGTATAACGGTATAACTCTAATAGCCATGGACATCACTGTGGGAATTAAACCAACCAAGAATGACTTGTGGTAAAACCGATAAAACCCAACTTAGGATACCAACTTGGGTTCCAAAGTTAACTTGTCCCATACTCAAAAGGGAAAAAACGACAAATTAATGACTGGTTGGTGAAATTGCCCATGGTATACGGTGTGTAAATGCTGGGTGGATTAAGATCAATATTTTGCACTCCCCATGAAATAAATGTCGATATCACCATAATTTAATACCTAAAATCAACCCAAGAAATTTGAACAGTTCTCAATTCACTTTCCCTATTCCTTTTACTTGTTGGTTGACACAGAAACCATAGTAGATTATGTAATCCTCCGCAAACCAGTTTGGCATCCTTTCCAAACATCAACGCCAATGTGCTTTTGAACATGTTTCAGTTGGCAGATTCCAATCGGAAGATTTCTTTCCTAACCCATAGGATCCATGGTGCTGGAATATTTACCAACATTTACCCTAAAAATCACCAAGTTTTGTATGTAAATATACCATACATGGAGCATATGGGTAATGTTGATTCCATTTTGGGGTCCATACGTTTGGTTTTTTGGCGCTAATTCCGACAAATGTCGGGCGATTGCCATCATGACTAACAGTTCGCCATAGAAAGATCCACCATGCGATTAATAGGTAAACCATCTATAAATGGGCCATGGCTTCCATGGCTATGTTAAATAACCAGATGGTATTCTTGATTACAAAGTTTGAGATACTTTGTTAATAGCAGCCACAAGGCACAACTAGCCACATTAGCAAATATTTTCATAATATGGTAATACGGTAAACTGTAAACCCAACTTAGAAAGCCAACCCCTATAGGGCACACTGTTTCTCCGAATGGTAACAAAAATCATAAATGCGGCATGGTCTATTGAATTTACCACAGTGACTTGGAATCGTAGAACACAGAGATCAGCCATGATCAGCCATTGCCACATCCAGATCTGTGGCAGAGGCGCAAGCATCGCAAAGATTCCTCCAGATATCCAACGAACCTGCACTTTTATGCACGAAGCCGCGAAGCTTATAGAAAGTTGGTGACTTCGCCCCTCCCACCCCTTATACAATTCATATATATATATATATTAATCTACATAATTATATTCATATATATATAATATGTATACTTCATACATACATTACATTACATTACATTACATTACATTACATTACATTACATTACATTACATTACATTACACATACATTACATTACATTACATCACATTACATCACATTACATTACATTACAAATACATCACATCACATTACATCACATTACATTACATTACATTACATACACGTCAATAGGGATCACGATGCCAACTGGGATGGATTTTCTAAACCACCAAGCCCTGAGACTTCATTTTTCTAGATGAGCCATTAACAAAATACCCTGCTTAATTGATTGCTATATTTTTTTAAAAAAAAAAACTACCTGGTTTATTGGGGACTATGATCACCCATGGGGAAACCTATCAACTAACTATAGTACTTTCTGATAAACGTTTACATAACTACGGAAAATCACCCCTTTAATAGGTAAATCAACGAACTAAATGGCCATTTTCAATAGCAACCTGTTAGTTTACCAGAGGGTAGTATTTCATGAGATTGTAAAACGGGGCATTCTCTTCATGGCTCAGATGAGCATCCATCGACAAGCCGAAAATGCTGAACCAGGCCACCAGGGGGTTGATGATGGTAGCCCCTAATGAGGTGTTTAATATGGTTTACGGACCGGTTTACTATGGTTTAGTATGGTTACTATGGTTAGAATATGGTTAGATATAGATTAATGAAATATGTATATGATATATGGTTTACCATGGTTTAGTCTGGTTTACCAATAGTGCAGATTGCAACATCCCCATCACAGGTGGGAAGAAATAAACGACGACGATGGACAGTCCCCCTGCATGTTGAAAGCCAGCAAAAAATCCATGTGGGTGTAACATGGTGTAACAATTGGGAAGCCTTAGAAAGAAAACTAAGAAAACGGCCCATGAATACGCGTCATACTTAGTATATGCTCATATTTATTCAGATATTATTCCAAACATTTCCAAACCATAACCAGATATGACCAGCACGCCCTTCAAAATCTTGCCATGCCCCACAAGAATCCCGCAGCCATGCCTTTCCACTTGATCTTTGGTGTAAACTTCGGACTTAAAGGTGCACACAATCCGCCAGCATTCCCTGCGCGGGCCAAGTGGCCGCCAAGTCTAGTGACTGTGGTTGATACATGCGACACAGGATATAGAATCACATGGCTTTCCCTACTATGGTTGGTTGCTCAAAATTTCACATGTTTATTGGAAAAAAAACATCATATACCATCTGGTTATGACTAACATAGCCATGGAAAGATCCACCATTTTTCATAGGGAAACCATCTATTTCTATGGGCCATGGCTTCCATGGCTATGTTAAATAACCAGAGGGTAGAATCACTTGCTTTCCGCAAAAAAAAAAACGTGTTTTTTTTCATGGCAGCTTCTGCATTTCTCGGAGAGGTTTCAATTTTAATCCCACTATGGTTGGGTAAGTCTGTAGCTCCAACTGGGCTCCCCATAGGGAAAAGTTGGAGACCCATCATCGCCGCCTACTGGGCTGCACTACCACCACTTGAATGGGAGAGACTGAGCTGCCTTCCTGACAAAGAAGGCTGGGAAATTCGGACGCTTCAAGCAACTAATGCATGGTGGCACTCACGGGGAAATATGGGGATGCCAGATACTGTTGATGGTTGCGAAATCCGATAAACCACCAAACGGATGGTTAAAAAAGTTAAAACCCTATAAATAATGGAAGAAACTACCTATCAACTGGTGATTCGGATTTCGCAACCATCCACAGTAGGATATGGTTGTGTACACTGACATATATTCGACATGATGAACCGCATTGGGATCATGTCCCACCCGAGAGAAGTCAGGCTGTGGCTGCAATCTCAAACAATCCTGCTGAACATCGCAGAAATCATTGATCAATTGCATTTACTGTATATAATAATATATACATATATGGGTATGGGTCAAGTCATTAGGTACCCCAAAATTATGGATGGTTTTTCTACTAGTCACTAGACTAACTCACATCTGTGGTCCCCTTAACGGTCTTTCATTTTGACCCACATCCTGCGATCCTTCGAGATCCCATAAAACCACATAAAAAAACCACCTTCTGCGCGTTTAACCGGTGTCCTTGCCCTTGTATGCTGGGATGGGCTTGAAGCCATTGGGCTCCTCAGTGTTCCGGTGATTTTTTTAAACATCAAACAGACTCGGCTCAAAATTCACAAAGTCGCTGAAATTGATGATGTTGGTGATGTTGGTGGTTGAGCCCTTATGAAAAATATGAGTTCGTCAGATGGGGTTACTATTCCCATATATTGTGGAAAAATAAAAAAGGTTCCAAACCACCAAACAGTCACTGTGTCTCTAAAATGTTCATTGTCTTTTAGGTGTCTTTCCTGTGAAACTGCCAACTGGCCATTTAGAAAACAACCCAAGCCCTGACGGCCCCACCTCAAAGTCGGTCCACATGAAATTCACCTCAACCGCCCCTCTGCTGTATCGCTGTTCGGTTCCAAACATAACACGGAAAGATTGGATTTGATATGATTTTCACAATAAAGAGATGCTATGATCATAGAATTGGATGATGGGAACATTTACAGGAAACCCCGATCAATTTGATGGCAAAAACCATGGCTTCTGGTTAAGATGTTCCCTTAAACCATCTTACACCAATCAATTGATATGAATGAAAATCCAAACTCTTTTGAGTCGTGAGTACAAAAAATATATGGGGCAAGGCGGAAAAAAACGGTGTTAGAAAGCCACCTAGGCGCCACATCTGGAATCTCAGGAGCAGTGCCCCAAGCATGGCAGATACAGTACCCTGCAAGAACTGTTCAGCTGGTTTGTAGATCCTTCCATCTAAACATATTCTATCATCATCTATCGTAAGATATGAACTCACATTCGATGATATCATTCACATTCTAGAATATTCACATCAACTGATATTAAGATATAATTATGATAGTAAGATATTCATCTCTAGCAAGATAGTAAGATCTATGTAGGTCACTTATCAACATCTTTACCCTCTGGTAAACTAAAATAGCTATTGAAAATTGCAATTTAGAAATAGTTGATTTACCAATTAAAAATGGTGAGTTTCCATGAAATTGTGTATGTTTACCAGAGGGTAATCCCCATTATATCGCGAAAAAAAATCCCTATAAATCCCCATGGTATCCCCTACAATGTTGGGGGGGCCAGTTATAAATTGGTCATAATTGGTCTATAAACCCCATCAACTATACGTATATAGTTATAAATATCATAAAGCCTAGTTATTGAAGTTATGTTCACCAACTTAGCTATCGTGTGGGGGCCCCACATTGTATTCAATTTCCATTTTAGTTCACCATTAAATCCACTAAAATCACTATGAAATCCCATTCAAACACCATTAAATCACCATTAAACCATCCATTAAACCATCCATTAACCAGCCATTAAACCAACCAATTGCTAGACCAACCAGCCATTAGACCATCACCAATGTTATGGTGGCCGAGTGGCAAATGGTACAGCAGCTTGACTGACCACGGGAGGCTGACGCCAGAGGCGTTCTTTCACGATGACGTTCAAGGCCAGAGCCACGCCCGCGTAGTGCAAACCTGGCCCAGGGTCCACCTCTCACAGGGGTCAGGGCCTAGGGAAGATATGGGGAAAACATGGGAAATCTATGGAAAAACAGTTGGAAAATTGGAAATATGGGGAAAACTATGGAAAACAGCTGGAAAACAGCTGGAACATGGGGAAACATTTCAAAGATTCCATGTCATTCCCAGATTTTTTGCTGGTCGTACAGTAATCTTCCAATTTTCGAGAGAAACCTGGTTGATGGTCAAAACAATCTCAGGGATATGCGCAAATAATAATGATCAATGATAATAATGTGGGTTTTCCCCAATGCCATAAACAGTCATGAACCTATCATGACTGGGGATAGTTACGGATAGTTAAACATATAAAAATGCTGATATCGGGATGGTTTATTGAACAAACTTTTTCAGGTTGCACCGAACCAAAGGAACCAAAGGAATCCAAAAAAAGCGAGCTATGTAATATTAAGTGACTCAACAAATCCTGAAAGGATTCATGAAAACTTTCAAACCACACGTAAATCACTATACTATACTAAGGATTGTTTCATACCTCTAAAATGTTGTTTCCTCCTCTAAAAATGCTGTAGTATAGTGAAAATAAATCTTCTATAGGTTCAATAACTACACTTTCCTCATCATTCTTTCCTACACGTCTCATCTACAGTTATGGCCCAAAATACCAGTTATGTTTGTCAGTGAAATCACCCATTTATTCATTTATAATTAACATGTTATTACCACAAAAAAGTGGAAGTTCTAGAGATTCATAGAGATTCTAGAGTTTTAACATGCTTTAACTGTATGACTTCACCCAATTTATAAACCCACCCTTGGGCCGGTCCCCACAAGGGTCCCCGAAGGTGGTCCAAAAAAGGAGTCCGGCGGCCTTCTATGGGAACTTCCAAGCGGCCTGGCCCACGGTGCGTCAGCCAGCACCATGCAGTGATGGCCATGGCAGTTATAACTGGTGATTTCTGTCATTTCTATGGTGAATGATGATCAATAGTGGTTAGCTATGGCTGGCTAATAGTGGCTAAACATGTGATTGATGATGGTTAAAACTGGTTATATCAATGGGACTATACATTCTATAAATGGGGGTTTGTTATGTTTTGTTAGTAGTTATAACTGGTAAATGGCCACAACTGTAGAAAGCTGCACAGATATATTGTGTTTAGTTGCTCACAACCTATTTACAAAGCTAACTTATGACAAACAAAAATGATCCCATACTCGAGTTTGAAGATTTTAGCAACATACCCGGTTCCCAGTCGTGGCGTCGTCGCCCATACTCGAGGCCATTCCATCCCATCCTACTTGCTGCTTCCCTTGAAAAGTATGTTTCGACAAGTCAACCCGAGCGATCTTCCCATATTTATCGGCTTTTGTCAAACCCTGGGGCCCTACAGTACCCCAATAGCATCCAATAGCTATAAGACAGCTGGATGTTGATTATTGTTTATTCCCCAGTCATATGGCAAATTCAGTTTGGTTTATTCCCCATCATCAGTCATTAGTGGTGATATATCCCACTATGACTATGTCCCTACTCTGGTTGGTTGCTCAAAATTTCACGTGTTTATTGGACAAAAAAACCTCATATACCATCTGGTTATATAACATAGCCATGGAAAATCACCATTGTTCACAGGTAAACCATCTATAAATGGGCAATTTTCCATGGCTATGTTAAATAACCAGAGGGTATCCCTTTTGAACCTTCCCCATATGAGAATTTCCTTTAAAAAATGGGGGATACCTCCAAATCATCCATTTTAGAAGATTTTTCCATGAAATAAACCATCCAGTGAGCTTGGGGTAGCCCCATGACTATGGAAACTCATCATCACCCATTATCAACCATCATTAACCATATACTAGATAAATTTATATAATATATTAACCATATTAACCATATTAGCCACATATTTTGAAGTACTGTGCCATATCGCAAGATTGCTTGGTACAGGGTGGTGCCTCATATGCAAATAACTATAGTATTCATGGGGTTTAAAAACCAACAAACATAACGTTTAGGGGCTCCACAGTGTATGGATGCCATAGGGATTTATAGGAATTTATAGGGGATATAATGGGGATTACCCTCTGGTAAACATACACAACAAACTATGGAAACCATCTTCAATGCCCATATGCGAACCATGGTGCTGGAATATGCACACCAACATTTACCCTTACAAAATCACTCAGTTTTGTAGGTTTTTATATACCAGCACCATGGTTCGCATATGGCTGGGTAAATTATAATATTTCACTAACCTGAAATAAGACCATTTGGGGATGATTCCCCTAAAATTAACCATGATTCCCAGTGAGGTCGCAGTGAGGTCGTTAAAATTTACCCAGATCTATGTACATACATGTGTATATATATATATATATATGTATATATATATTATATAGGGAAGGTAATGGGAATATAATGACATCTAATGGAATATAACAAACAATTTGATGGTACATTATCATATAATGGGATTATATTCATTATATCACTATATACCGATTGGTGATATATCCCAAATACCATAGTAATAATTCATATATATATATATATGGCAGTGTGTCAATTCCTTGTACCCCTGGTGGACATCAAAATAGCTGGGATTTATGGATGTTCATCCCCCTAAAAATGGTACTTATAGCTATTGACCCATATATATATATATCACTATTCACCATGCTTCGCATATGGGTAACGTTTAGGCCCCACTTTTTGTACGGTTCCTACGTTCCCCGGGCGCCCCGGGCCCCATCGCCGTTACAAAACGCCGAGGGCCGAGAGGCGATAGTCCGCGAAGAGGCCGATGAGATCCGAGGCGCACGGCTCGTCCCGCTGGGGCGCGATCTCAGGTTGCGGCGGTCCATCGCAAGTTCCGGACCAAAAAACGATGGAACAGGGGAATGACATGGCTGGTTAATGGATGTTTAATGGCTGGTGAATGGATGTTGAATGGCTGGTTAATGGGATTTGATGGTGATTTATGGCTGGTTAATGGGATTTGATGGTGATTTACTGGGATTTAATGGTGATTTAATGGGATTTAATGGTCCTGCACCAGTTGATAGGTGGTAAACATCCCATTATTTACAGGGTTTCAACCATCCAAGGTGATGCAGGATTTCCAACCATCCACAGTATGGCTGATTAATGGATGTTTAATGGATGTTTGATGGCTGGTTAATGGATGTTATAGCTGGATGTTGATTCCCTGAAATATGGTATAATTTCATAGGTTTTGACCCATCCTCATATCCGATTCATAAGGAATTAGCCTATGTTGTCATGAATTTCATGAAAAAAAACACGGGGAATTCCATGATGGTTTTCAGCCATGGAGAAGGGTTTTTCAGTAACCAAGGACAAGATCTTTGCGCTGTGGTAATCCGTGGTATCTGCTTGGATGAATTAAACTGATACCCTCTGGTCATTTCGCAAGAGCTATGCAAAAAATATAATTCTTAATAGGTATCAAAGATTATCACAGTTAATAAATGGGCAACCAATTAAAACCGTATATCAGGTATGACTTATAATTATACCATAGGTATTCCCCAATAATGTTGATACCATGTATATCATAGCGAACTCTCAAACTACCAGAGAGTAGCCAAACATCAGATGGTCCTGGCCAAAAACCAGTGATACAAGCAATCTGAAATGCCACTGAGCAGCCACGTGCAAGGACTGCGCGCCCTGGTGGAGACGCCACAGAAGCAACGCACAGATCACATAGATTCACACACTAGGAACGATAGAAATAGAGCAACGATCTACAAATCACCCAGTAGAATCCAGTAGACACAATATCAATCTATAGTTATAATAGTACTTGTAGAATCCAGTAGACACAATATCAATCTAATTACAATAGTACTTGTAGAATCCAGTAGACACAATATCCATCTAATTACAATAGTACAACCAATTTGCAAGAATCGCACAGTGGAAACACGCCATTGGCTTTCGTCCAGAGAATCCAAGACTTGCCAATATTGTTCCCAAAGTGTGCTTGATTGAAAATTGTGTATAATTACTCCAAAATCCCACTATTTACCATAGTATTTTGAATGTAATGCGTTCCCCATTTAAATCAGATTTTTGGGGTATACTACTCCATTCCCAGACAGAACCCAAGTTACCCTCTGGTAAGTTAACATAGCTATTGAAAATTGCCCATTTAGTTCGTTGATTTACCGATGAAACATAGTGATTTTCCAGTTCGCTATGTAAACGTTTACCAGGCCGGGTAATTCCCATGATCAATCCCCTATAAATTCATATCAATCCCCATGGTATCCCTACATATCACTATAAATCCCTATAAATCCCTATAAATCACCATCAAATCCCTGTTGCGATGGTGACATATCTCATGATGTTACCATCAAACGGCTGGTTGAATCCCGAATGTACAGGCACAGAAAATATTCTATTTGTTGTTTATATATGGGTGAACATCCATTTCAGAACCAGCTATGAACTGATAGCTGAACAGCAGAAAACCCGTAGTGAGCTGATCCATGCCATAGCCATCCAAGCTGAAGAAACCATGGTCAGAATGGGATATATAACTGGTTGGTGGTTGACCTACCCCTCTGAAAAATATGAGTTCGTCAGTTGGGATGATGACATCCCAATATATGGAAAGTCATAAAATTCATGTTCCAAACCACCAATCAGTATATATATATCATATATCCCATGAAATATCCCTACTATGGTTGGCTATAAATCCCAATCGTTGGTTCAAATCCCAAAGTTCACATGATTGTTTTTATCCCCAGGATCTCTCCATTATATCCCATTTTTGTTGTTGATTAATTCATGTGAACAGTGCTCAAAACCCAAAATGTCGTTTCAAAAAATACTGGTTGGTCAAGAACGGGATTCCCATTTCATGGATAGTGATAATTCCCGAAAAATCATCAACGAACCATCATGTATCATATCCACAGTCATATCCTCGTTCAATCATCAACCAACATGAGTTTGTTGAGCCAATGTTTCATGTTTTTCCCCCTTTTCTCTTTGGTTTTCCTACAATGTGAGGCCCCCAAGATAGCTGAGCTGGTTTATAAGTCCAATAACTATGGTTTATGGTATTTATAACTATAGTTACTGGGGCTTATAAACCAACTTATAACTGGGGGGCCTCACATTGTATGGTTTTCCCATGGTTTTCCTATCGCCTGCTGGTGCACTTTGCCCATGGAGACGCCAATGGCTGTCAGCCTTAGATGACTCGGATCGGCTGATGGCTGATGGCTGATGTTGAGGCCCCTACTTGGGAAAATCGTGTTTTATGGGGATTTATAAGGATTTATAGTGATTTTATAGGATATAATGGGAATTTATAAGGATTTATATTGATTCTATATGATATAATAATGGTTTATGAGGATTTATAAGGGATTTATAGTTATTTTATAGGATATAATGGGAATTTTTAAGGATTTATAAGGATTTATAGTTATTTTATAGGATATAATGGGAATTTATAAGGATTTATATTGATTTTATATGATATAATAATGATTTATGAGGATTTATAAGGGATTTATAGTGATTTTATAGGATATAATGGGGATTTATGGTGATTTATAAGGATTTATAGTGATTTTATAGGATATCATGGTGATTTATGGTGGTTTATAAGGATTTATAGTGATTTTATAGGATCTAATGGTGATTTATGGTGATTTATAAGGATTTATAGTTGTTTTATAGGATATAATGGTGATTTATAAGGATTTATAGTGATTTTATATGATATAATGATGATTTATGGTGATGTATAAGGATTTATAGTTATTTTATAGGATAGAATGGGGATTTATGGTGATTTATAGGGATTTATAATGATTTTATAGTGTATAATGATGATTTATTGTGATTTATAAGGATTTATAGTGATTTTATAGGATATAATTGGGATTTATGGTGATTTATAAGGATTTATAATGATTTTAAAGGATATAATAGTGATTTATGGTGGTTTATAAGGATTTATAGTGATTTTATAGGATATAATGGGGATTTATGGTGAATTTATAAGGATTTATAATGATTTTATAGGATATCATGGTGATTTATGGTGATTTATAGGGATTTATACTGATTTTATAGGATATAATGAAGATTTATGGTGATTTATAAGGATTTATAATTATTTTATAGGATATAATGGTGATTTATGGTGATTTATAGAAATTTATAATGATTTTATAGTGTATAATGATGATTTATTGTGATTTATAGGGATTTATAGTGATTTTATAGGATATAATTGGGATTTATGGTTATTTATAAGGATTTATAGTGATTTTATAGGATATAATTGGGATTTATGGTGATTTATAAGGATTTATAGTGATTTTAGAGGATATAATGGTGATTTATGGGGGTTTAAAAGGATTTATAGTGATTTTATAGGATCTAATGGGAATTTATAAGGATTTATATTGATTTTATATGATATAATAATGATTTATGAGGATTTATAAGGATTTATAGTGATTTTATAGGATATAATGGGGATTTATGGTGATTTATAAGGATTTATAGTGATTTTATAGGATATCATGGTGATTTATGGTGGTTTAAAATGATTTATAGTGATTTTATAGGATCTAATGGGAATTTATAAGGATTTATATGGATTTTATATGATATAATGGTGATTTATGAAGATTTATAAGGATGTATAGTGATTTTATAGGCTATAATGGTGATTTATGGTGATTTATAAGGATTTATAATGATTTTATAGGCTATAATGGTGATTTATGGTGATTTATAAGGATTTATAGTGATTTTGTAGGATATAATGATTTATGGTGATTTATGGTGATTCATAGTGATTTTATAGGATATAATGGTGATTTAAAAAGATTTATAGTGATTTTATGGGATATAGTGGTGATTTATAAGGATTTATAGTTATTTTATATGATATAATGATGATTTATGGTGATTTAAAAGGATTTATAGTGATTTTATAGGATATAATGGGGACTTATGGTGATTTATAGGGATTTATAATGATTTTATAGGATATAATGGGGATTTCTGGTGATTTATAGGGATTTATAATGATTTTATAGGATATAATGAGGATTTATGGTGAATTTATAAGGATTTATAATGATTTTATAGGATATAATTGGGATTTATGGTGATTTATAAGGATTTATAATGATTTTAAAGGATATAATGGGGATTTCTGGTGATTTATAGACTTTTAATGGGTATATAAGGGGGATTACTCTCTGGCTATTTAACGGTTTGCGAACTGGGAAATCAGCATTTTTAAAACGCTAAACCATCAGGTTTATCATCTATAAATGGGCCATGCTTCCATGGCTATGTTAGTCATAACCAGATGGTAATTTTGGTTCATGATCCTGTGCCGGATGAAAAAAAAACATGTGTTTGTGACACATCTATTGTTGCAGAACTTTTGTGAATTCATCTGGTTGGTGGTGCCATAACCATCTTGAAAAATCATGGAGTGAAAGTAAGTTGGGATGATTATCCCATTCCCATATATTATGGAAAGTCATACAATTCCATTGTTCCAAAGAACCAACCAGATATTTGGGAATCCCACATTTATATATATATATATACACACTATATTTTGGGAAACCTCCATATATACATATATATATATACTAACCAACCAAATGGTTCCAAAGCACCAACCAGTGATGGTTGAGCCTTGTTGATGAACCAATGTTGATGACCTGCAGAAGATCACCAAAAAAGTCACGAAAAACTGACCCAGTCGTTGAAGTTCCGATCTTTTCCCACTAAAATCAGTGGATTTTGTGGAGCCCGCCAGTTATGTGAACGTTGGTTTTTGTTAACCCCATGAATACTATAGTTGTAAGTATCATAAACCCTAGTTATTGAAGTTATAAACCAACTTAGCTATCTCGGGGACCCCACATTGTAGAATATCTAAAATTAGAATCGTGATCTGTATGAATTTGACACTTTCACAAGCTGAGAATATGAAGGACCCAATTCGAACATCGTGACTGTTGTGACTTTTCTGGCAATCAAACACTGGTATTTCGCACTTAACGTTCGGAACGTCATCTAAAAATACCACAGACGGCTGCCACACTGTGCCAGGACGCCAGGACTAAGTCTACCCCACAAATCCCTTCCGCGATTTTTCAAAGTTTTCTATGTGGTTTGGATGGCCCATGTATAGATTTACAGTACCTACTAAAAATGCCGATTCTTCATAGCCATTGTGAAAAATGATACTTTTTTGGGCAACTCAAAACCATTTTCTGCTGGTTGAGTTACCTACAGTTATAGCCCAGTTCAAACTGGCTTATAACCTCATTCAAGTGATGTATATATATATGTATTATATATGTATATATATTAAAACCTAGTTGTAGGAGTTATAATCCTATGATATTCCATCTAAAACTGTTAAGGGCCATAAGTGCCATGATTTGTCACCAACTCTTTAAAGAAAAACACGTCACGACCCTTTTTTGTCCCATCGGAAAATTCTGAGGCACAGGAGGATCTCATCCGGAACCGCCAGCTTTAGGGCTGCATGTTTGATGAGGCTCACCTGGCCGTTTGACGACCGAACACGAGGGACACGGCGACCTCAAATTTCAGATACCCCAATGCGAACCATGGTGCTGGTATATTTTCTCGCCAACATGAATACCCCATATTTTTTTGTGACCCAGTTTTGTAGGAACATATTCCAGCACCATGGTTCGCATATGGGATAATTTCAGTGGCTTTATCATCATCTTCCACATGATGTCGTGAATGATGGTTTTACTCAGAATTATAGTTCCCAAGATCTTTGGGCAAGTGACGATTTCCACAACATGACCACAAATTTGGTGTCCCCTTTATTTGGTCATAAACTTACGTTTTGCCCACTAGAATGGCCATCAAGAAATAGGGCTTTCCCATGCTTTCCCCCAAGATTTGATGGACAAATTGATGTTTTCCAGTAAACTTGCCATGAAATTGGGGTGTCAATGAGTTTCCCCTATGATCATAATCATAAACTGACGTTTTGAACACATAAAACTGCGGTGGTAAAAAAAAAGGTGTTCAAAACGTCAGTTTATGTGGCTGAATAAACAATGAGGAATTATACATGGAATGTGGAATTATAAACTGGTGCTTAGTAGGGAATGGATGGGAATGGGGGAGTGGGATGATTATGAATAGTTATTGCGGATCATTCCCTCATTCCCTGCGTTTAGCACCAGTAAGATAACAATTTTCCTGATTGTTTCCTGACTTTTTCTGCCCTACACTGATCGGAAGCCAGCTCTTCCAGCGCCTGCATGGGGCTCACGCTCAGCAGTTCGGAGCGAACCAAGTTGGTCCAACCGCCAGAGTCCAAAGTGGTGGGCGTCCTGGGTTTTTTTCGGTGGGATTTTTCAGGAGTTCTCCCGAGATTTCTAGGGATTAAATTACTATAGGATGATGATGGGATTTGTCCAGATTTCACTTTAATTAACGATATTGAAATGGATACTTATCGAATTGTTCACAAAAAATGGATAGCTGCAGCTAAGTTGGTAAATGTGCATGTTTCCTGTGGGCTATCCATATGGGATGGTGATTCATGTTGATTCGATGTTGATTTCAACAACAAATCTTCCATGTTCGTCCTTTTTCTCACACTGGGTAGCAGAACTATACCGTGATAAAGATGGACTACACCTCAATAGTTGACCCTGATAGGTGATACTCTGCTCGCTTTGAGGTTTGATAGGTGTGTCTGATCATGTCTGATCGTTGCTAAATGATGGAGAAATTCAACATTGTTTACTGGGCTGGTGGCTTCAACCCACTAAGAACGTAAGTGTTCGTCACTAGGGTTCCGAGAAAACTTTCATGATATTTCTCTTCAGCACCAGAGGGTGAACTAGATAATTTAGTAGGCATCCATCAGGACCAAAACAACATCATCCACAAATTCAGCGACTTTGGAATCCTGACACCTGACTCTCCTTGACCACAACCAAGAGTTGGTCATCATGCTGCTGGGATAATTCCTCAAAAAAACGATCTCAGAAAACCAGCCAAATTTGCCAATCTTACACTGTAAACTTGTAAACAACCCGCCTGCAGTTCGTAACACCAAAACAGGAAAAGAGAAAAGGTAGGTACCCTCTGGTAATTTAACATAGCTATTGAACATAACAATCTATAGTTGATTTTCCCATGAAAAAATGTGATTTTCAATGTACTTATGTTAGGTTACCAGAGGGTATCACAAAAATAGAGCTACTCCCATCCTTGAACCAGTACTGTTTTCGCCCATGGTGACGATCTGGTCTTGACCGACACCCTTCGGATCGCCGAGCTGCACGGGGTCGCCCAAGCTGTGGTCCCCATCCACGGTGCGGAAGAGACGTCGCTGCAGTAGATCGAAGGAGACCGGCAAGGCTGGCAGCGGAGAAATCTGCTGACCCTGCGATGGAAAGGGCGGTGAAAAATGGGGATGGTGGGTTCAAAAAGGGGAATATACGGGATTTAAACTTAAAACATATTTATATGATGATATGTAGATATATGTATATAATGATTAATGATATACGTAGGGTGATTTAGATTATACTTTAAACTATGATTTACATTGATGACAAATTGTATGGGATATATGCAATTCACCATCCCTTAAGTTGCGATTCAACCGTGAAAAATATATGGGGATCTAACTTGCGTTAACTCGAGGTATCAAACATGTAAAACCATTTAAACCATTGTAACACCAATAAATTCATGGGGATACACATGGGATACAAGATACAACCAACAAAAAAAATATGGCTGGATATCTTTGGTTCAAACCTAGGGAGGAGGACACCAATGTGTTGGAGGTTTCCATTTTGTTATGGAGGTACCCCTAGCTATCATCCAAAATTGATTATAAAACTGGAAAACCAATCATTTTAAATACCAAAACTTGGGGAAAACTTCATTTTTGAAGATATCCTCATTATATCCCATGTTGTGTCAGGTTTGAAAGGTTACACCCCCATCTTGGGAATAGTTTTGCCAAAAGCAACATCCGGATTTACCCAACGCGAAGCGCATTCCCCGCCACGTTATTCGTCATTATTTATATCTTTATGGGATAAGATGGTTTAATGTGGTTTAATGATCTCTAATGGGGATAAATATCGATGATATGATTGGATGACCAAAAATAATTTTGAAAATGACCATAGAAATAGTTGATTTACCTATTGAAAATGGTGATTTACCTACATACACAGAATATCATCTGGTTGGTGGTGCAATAAACATCTTGAAAAATGATGGAGTTCGTCAATGGGAAGGATGACATCCCATATATGAAATGGAAGATAAAATTCATGTTTGAAACCACCAAACATATATGATCTGTTACTTGGTGGCTCATCCCAAGGCTCGTTTTTGTGGGTTATAACCCCAGTGATTTACATGGGATTTTTGGAGCGGGTTAATCCACTGAAATAACTGGGTAGTTCACTAACCCACAAAAACGAGCCGCGGGTAGTTCGCCACCAAGTAGGATATTTTATGATGTTTATAAACCCCATTAACTATAGATATATCTACCATAAACCATAGTTATTGAAGTTATTTGCACCAGAAATCATCATTTTTCTTCGCCCCCGGCCATGGTCTCCATGGCCTGCGCCAAGAGCTCCTGATCCGCCACCAATTTGGCCAGGTCTTGGAGCAAGGGGACGATGCAAAAACCATCCGAAAACCTCGTGCGCGTGAAAACCGGTGAAGATACCGATATGTGACCATAGTATATATACATACATACATACATACATATATATATACACATGTATATATATATATAGATATATGTATGTAGATGATGTATGTATATATATATATACTATAGAATATATGGTAGTGATGACCAGTAATTATGTTTGTTAGTATGAATATGTTTATCGGTATAGGCATTGTTCATAACACATGACTTTCTGACATTTCTAGAGTTCTCCAAATGGATCGAGAAACGGGGCTTCAGCTTCCCAAAAGGTGGTCCCTAGTTATAGCTTTGTTGTTTTTCTTAATGAACCAGATTAACTAATCATAAATTTAAAGGGGATACTGTATATAGGGATACCATGAGGATTTATAGGGATTTATATATATATGGGATATAATGGGGACTACCCTCTGGTAAACATACAAAAAACTATGGAACATCACCATGTTTAATGGGAAAATCAACTATTTCTAAATTGTCATTTTCAATAGCTATGTTAAATTACCAGAGGGTCATGTTTAAATTCTACAACATTGTAAACATCCATTACTGTCATTGATATATCGAACAGTGACAGTCACTGTTCGATATATCAATAGGAACCCCCCAATAGAAAAGGCTTCGCTATTGGATTTTACCAACATCCAAGTCAACGTGGGTAAAACACTATCACAAACCACCCATTTAGGGAATGGCTAACATACCACCTATAGACATGGTGATGACTGCGGGATGGTGCAAATGACATGTTTTTTTCCCACATAATTTTCATCCCATGGATTGCCGCCAATTTCATCCAAGGGCATGTGGGTCAAGCGCAGCTGCACCACCACACCACCAGGATAAGGTGCGACTCTCAACTGAAATGGCGGACGAAACGGATCCTGCCAGAAGACAAATTCAAAATCACTCACTTTTTGAACTGCATACTATAGGGGATGAAATGTGATTTATGGCATTTTAATAGTTCAAATACATTTAATACTGCTGTAGTTAATTAATATCATGTATATAATAAGTATTCGACATAACCTGTCTATGTATATATATATATACACATTATATATATAATATTGTAGAAATTATGCAATAGTATATTGTAGCCTTGATGGTCATTTTAAATGGATTTAATGGGGATTATAGTGTTTGGCGATTCAATGGAATTTACTGGGGTTTCTTAAGTCATGGGGGCTCCCCAGTCATCACCATAGGTTTCAATACAAATTCAAGACTAATTCATAGTCATGAAAGAAAACCACTGGATGATGACTCGGGGTACCGCATGACAATTCTTCACTTGCAATGTGGCCCCCCCAGTTATAAGTTAGTTTATAAGCCCTAGCAACTATAGTTATAAATACCATAAAGTTAGTTATGATTGGAGTTATTTGCACCAACTTAGCTATCGAACGGGGGCCTCACATTGTAGGACACCTCCGCAGCCTCCAATTCTTCAGACTTCACAGCTCCATGGCTTCCGTGGCTGTGCTCCATCTCTCCACTGGGAAAGTTGACACGGTCAGAGTTTCTCTGCTGAGTTCTTACTGTAATCATCACGTTTCTCATCAAAAAAAACTGGAACTGGAGCTCAAAAAGCTGGTTTTCAAAAAAGGTCACCCTTCCTCACCCTCACCCTTGTCCTGTTTGGCCTGAGTGGACAGCAAAGCTTCAGCTTTCTCAAAGCTCTCGGACATGGGAAGATTTGCCAAGACACTGTCCACCTCGGGCGCGATCTCAACTGATGATTGATCCAGCAAATGAAAAATATGCTCGTCATTGACGATCACGATCCCGATATTTCAAACCACCAACCAGTCAAGAGCGACATCAAGGTGAATATCGGGATGGCTCCATTTTTGTTGGAAGACAAAACAGGAAGATCAAACGTTGCGAAAATCTGTGGTTCCCATTGGAAATTCAGGACCCATACCGTACCATCCGATACCCAATACCCATGATCAAGACCGTCAAGGCACCTTCAAATATACCCTCTGGTAAACTAACGTAACTATGGAAAATCACAATTTTAATGGGTAAATCCACCATAAATGGCAATGTTCAATAGCTATGTTAGTTTACCAGAGGGCAAGCACTGTTCAAAACTCTTGGTCATGAAAAAAACCAATATATTGGGTAGTATATCTGTATGTAAAACTATAAAACACTCATAAAGCTGATGTTTAAAAAGCATATAAGAGTATACTCTAACATCAAACAACAGTGAGGTCGAACACTCTTCACCAACCTGGGGCACCTGGGGATGGATGGACTGCACTTTGGGCCAAGCAGATTTCAAGCTGTAGGAGGCCAAGGAAGAGAGCCAGCTTCGGGCCTCAGCGCATCCCTTGGTTTCCATATGGGGGTACCCCTTTATCGCTGGATGGTTTATAATTTATAATGGAAAATCCCAAACAAAAATGGGATGATAACTGGGGATACCACCATGGCAAAACGGAAACCTCCAGGACTCATTGGAGGTCTGCTGCAAAAGAAAATAGGGGCACCCATGGGCCATCATCCAAGTCATTAGACTCACTAAACCAAGAAGTTAGTATTAAAACCCGTGGTGAGGACTGGGGATCCACGATGACTTACGAAACCACCAGATGTTTTCCTAAAGAAACTGGTCTTGGCAAGTTTAAGCTTGGAAACAAAATCCTTGAGATTTCCGACCAATCCTTGGATGGTCGTGAGGAAAAGTGGGGCTTCGCAAACGCTTCGTTCAAGTTCTAAAATAAGTATGGTCTTGCGAAGATCCCCATCCCGACATATCACCATTGTCGCCACCCAAAGCATGTAGAATAGTGATTCAATCAATGGTTACATGATGATCAATTCTACCCGGTAGCCTTGCAAGCAACAGCTCCACAGAATCCCCATTCCAGTTCCCCGAAACGCCGACGTGCCCAGTGGCAAAGGAAGGTGATGACACTCGCCACAGGTGCAAGACCTAAGTCGCGGCGCCACTGCTTTCAGACCATGGTCTTCTGGAATATGCCCTTATCAAAACTTACATACAAGTATCATGATAAATAGTAATAATAATATCGATAAGAAAAAGAAGAACAATAGTAAGAATGCTAAGAACCAACAATAAGAATAATAAGAATAACAAAACAAATAAACATAAAAATCTAATAATCTATATATCAAATAATCCTTTTGAACGGCACACATCTAGAGAATATACCCATATATATAGTTTGTAGAAGACATTGTCTGCAGCTGGGGATTGGCATAGTGACTATCACCCTCTCCCGGGACCCGGACATCTTCCGATTTTTTGGCGAAAGAACATGAAAAAACAATGAAGCACACATGAGATAAGTACATTGTTACATGTTCCATGTATGTAAAGTATGTCTAAGTTTGGAAATTGAAAAAGTACGGTTATTACATAAATAATACAAGTGAAATTCCAAGACCCTGAGGATTCATGGGGAATGTCAATGGTTTTGTCTGAAAACATGGGCATTTTCTCTCGGGCAAAAATCATAGTATGTTGAATAAAATGGCAATTTGCGAGTACGGTCCCATTTTCAGACACACCCAGCTAAGATCAGTTAAGTTAGTTTATAACTCCAACAACTCTTGGTTTTCGAACTTATATAGTATAGTTACCCTCTGGTAACAAACATTGCTATTGAAAATGGCCTTTTATAGTTGATTTACCCATTAAAAATTGTGATTTTCCATAGTCATGTTAGTTTACCAGAGGGTAATGGGATGAACATAAACCAACAAACATGTCATCATTTCACTGAGGGGTACCACCCTGCAGGTACCACGCCAATATGTGAGTCCGCCAGGGGGGCACCAGCATGTGAGAGCTGCGGTGATGTTGACAACCGTCGAGGCGGGGACCAACCCCCCGAGCATTGGGGGATCAGAAAAGACACAAGGCGACAAAAACATGGCGTTTTTTGCGACCCAACAGGTGCGAAAAAAGGTGCGATGCTTCACCAAAAACATCCGCCAAGGGACACTCAGGGCAGCTTGAATCTGGAAAAAGAGTTCCATTGGATCAGCTGGTACCTCACGAGCCAGGATCAAGTTGCGCAACACCTTGTGCCCGTTTCTTAGTTCGTTTAAAAGATTTTCCGATTTACCAGTAGTACCGCACAAGGCGGTGGCGGAAGTTTCAAAAATAGGAAACCTATAGGAGAGGTTGGTTGTTGTGAATCACGGAAAGAAGAGCGAAGCCACTGATGGACCGAAAGGTGGTTGAGGTCTCCTCTCTGTCTCTCTTTTTCTTTCGTTTTCTGTGACTATCTACCTACCTACCTACCTATCCACCTATTTGTTGATCGATCTATCTACCTATCTATCTATATTTCTAACCTAATCTTATCTTATCTCATCTTATCTCATCTTATCTCATCTTACCTCGTCTTATCTCATCTTATCTCATCTGATCTGATTTTATCTGATCTTATCTGATCTTATCTGATCTTATCTGATCTTATCTGATCGTATCTGATCTTATCTGATCTTATCTGATCTTATCTGATCTTATCTCATCTTATCTCATCTTATCTATCTGTCTATTTATCTATCTATCTATCTAATCTAGTCTAATCTAATCTAATCTAATTTTATCTCATTTTATCTCATCTTATCTCATCCTATTTATCTATCTATCTATCTGTCTATCTATCTATCTATCTATCTCATCTTATCTCATCTTATCTCATCTTATCTCATCTTATCTCATCTTATCTCATCTTACCTCGTCTTATCTCATCTTACCTCGTCTTATCTCATCTTATCTCATCTTATCTGATCTTATCTGATCGTATCTGATCTTATCTGATCTTATCTGATCTTATCTCATCTTATCTCATCTTATCTCATCTTATCTCATCTTCTCGTCTTATCTCATCTTATCTCATCTTATCTGATCTTATCTGATCGTATCTGATCTTATCTGATCTTATCTCATCTTGTCTCATCTTATCTCATCTTATCTCATCTTACCTCGTCTTATCTCATCTTATCTCATCTTATCTCATCTTATCTGATCTTATCTGATCTTATCTGATCTTATCTGATCGTATCTGATCTTATCTGATCTTATCTGATCTTATCTGATCTTATCTCATCTTATCTCATCTTATCTCATCTTATCGATCTATCTATTTATCTATCTATCTACCTATCTATCTATTTATCTACCTATCGATCTATTTATCTATCTCTCTCTCTCTCTCTGTCTTTCTGTCTGTCTATCTGTCTATCTGCAAGATTGAAAACGAAGCTATTCTGCGAGACTTCCCCAATTTTTGGCAACATCAAAAAGGCAGCAATTCAGCGAGACTTCCTCATTTTTCGAAGTTGACAACATCAAAAACGAAACAATTCTGCGAGACGTCCTTCAAAAATGGAAAGTTGAGTGCAGGCACCAAAAGTCCTGGATCAGCGATGAGGATAGCATCAGGGATTGCCACAAGACAATCATTTCTTAACAATATCCGGGATTCCATGAGCTGCTCAAACTTCGACCTAATTTGTGGAAGGGTCAGAAAGAATGCGGGCTCTTATTGTTCCTGTCAAAAAGCTGTCTGAACACTCTCAAGCGACAAGCCCAACGTGTCGACCCCTGAGAACTCCTCCACTGTGCTAAAGCTATGGACTTTTCGCAGGTTCTCACCCCATGCCTCGTCCTGGCGCAATGGTTTATTAGTGTGTAAGACTGGGGGAATGGAAGGGTTTTTGCTGGTTACATGTGGTTGCGTCGTTCACTCACTCCAAATCCTATCCTATCATTCCATGTCATCATCCTATCCTATCAACGCATATCAACGCATATCAACGCTAAGAAGTTCCATACATTTTTTGTCACCGCTAAGATGGTCAACTGGAAATTCCTTAGTGCCTCGGTTTTTCCGCCCCACCTTCTGGTTTTGTAACCACAGACACCTTCAAAACCGAGCCGTTCTGTGTCAACTTTGTCAAGCACTCAACTTTCTTGGCAACCCACGGCAATGATCATCGACCCATCAAACCATCTCCTAGGATGGGTACATGAGATCCATCTCTCTGTCATGTACCCATCCTAAGATCTCAACATGGTCCATCTTAGCTGCGTCGTGAACCAGGCAGAATCTAAGGCAACCGCCACGTGTGTTGCAAGTCGTGCTTTGCAGAGCTGGTCACTTCTGCCATTGCCTGCCGTGCGCCGTTAGTGCGAGTGATGATTTTCTTCCTCTCTTGAACACTTGAAAAACATGGAGCCGCTGCCAGACCTGACCTCAGCACTAGATCACAGTCCCAGGCGTTTTGTGGGCTTGAGCAAGGGGCAAGGAAACTCGCGGTGGTTGGACTCTCTTATCAGGGCCGATGGGTGCTGGTTTCGAAAAGACGGACCATGTTTCTTCACAGCTGCTTGCCTTCGGGCTTGTGAGGAACCCATGAATGAATTTCAAATATGTTCATCATCTCCCACCCCAGTTTGAGAACATATTTGAAATTCATGGCATTCATGGCTGCACGTCGGTGACAACCCAAGTTTTACTTCAGCTACGCACACGCAAACGGTTTCACTGTTTCCACAGGTTCACAAGCGTCATACCAAAAAATCATGTTTCGGCGCTTTTTGATCACTTGAGCTGACGGTCTCGTACCAATGCGTTTTGCGATTTTTCCAGTCCACCTGTCTGAAGTATTGCGCCTGCCACGAAAAAGTGATGCCAGGTCATACGAAGAGCTGCACCTGTCACGCAAAATCATCTCAGCAAACCTGAAGATCTAATGCTCCAAAATGCAACCCCTCTCAGGAAATCAGCGCCCGGACCTCCTAACACCTCTGATGAACATGTCTCTTATACTGCGCCTGCCACAGAAAATGCATCTTTGCAGATCCTCTTCAAATGTCCCACGCCTGCCACCGTTTTTGGAAATGCTACAATATGCTACAAAAACCTCACGTTTTGCTCACTTTTGACAAGGTGCACAATCCCTTGCACCTGCCACGCGAAACGACATCTGAACGTCCAAAAGTGGTCCGAACATCGTGTTTTTAACATTTTGACTTCGAAATGTGCTTCGCGTCACAACGGCGTGCACTTTTTCGACATCGCAACTTTTAAAAGTGGTCCGGACCTGGTGTGTTTTGTACATTTTGACTTCGAAATGGGCTTCACGCCACAACGGCGTGCACTTTTTCGACATCTCTATTTCTAAAAGTGTCCGAGAATGGTGTGCTTTGTACATTTTGACTTCGAAATGTGCTTCGCGCCACAAAGGCGTGCAATTGTTCATCTCTCATCTGGCCAGCTGGCTCCGCACCCGCCGCTTTAGCGAGCCTACTTTTCTACCCCCTGGAACCACAAATCATTGGAAAAACACAATTTTTCGCGACTTTCCTACCTTTTGGCGCACCCCTATCTTCTTTCTTCTGACTTTTTCTCTTCTCTGATCTTCTCTCTTCTGCTCTTCTCTTCTCTATTCTTCTGCTCCACCTCTGCTTTTCATCTGTCCATATTGTCGGAAGTTTGACTTCTAAACTTCCTTCGGAAAAAGCATTTATGGGGCGAACATATCTGGTTGGTGGTTTCAACCCCTCTGAAAAATATTAGTCAATGAACATTACTATTATTCCCAAAATATAGGAAAATAAAAAAGGTTCCAAACCACCAGCCAGATATCGAACTAGCTAATGGGGATTATAAACCAACAAACATGTCCTTGGGGGGTGCCACCCTATGATTTCACCCAAAGCATCAAAGATCAGACCCCCGAACATAATTAATTAAACATTGGTTGGTTGGATCAAATATCAATATTCAAACTTACTTTCCACCAAATATTCAACGTTAGTCAACCACAGACAATTCAACAGTTTGCTATAGAAAATCACCACCAAATCATCGAACTAAATGGATATCTGGTTGGTGGTTTTAACCATCTTGAAAAATATTAGTCAATGGGAAGGATTATCCCATATATTATGGAAAATAAAAAATGTTCCAAAACACCAACCAGATATAAATGGGCTATCTATACCATAGCAAACTGCAAAACTGCTGCAGGGCATTTCAGACCTTGGATCATACCAGTACCCTCTGGTCATGGTTTGCTGGAACATCTCTCATCGACTCATTTGTACTTGATTCTTTTCCCAGCGAACTAAAAACTCCCTCTAAAAGGATCTAAAAGGGAGTTTCCACCAGTTATACATGTTTTGTTCTCTCCAATATTCATAAAAGATGTTTTCTCATCTATAAACCTCCATTTATAGTGGATGTCCCATGATGTCACAGGTGTGGCATATTTCTAGTCCCACTGCTGCCAGAAATCGCAGCGCAGTGCGACGTGCCGAGAAATTAGGTCCTGAGTTTCAGCATGGGGATCCCAGTTGGGATCTAAGGTGTTCTAAGCAAGTTCTAAGCAAGTTCCAGTAGGAAAAAAATTGGTCAAAAGTTGAAATCATGATGAATCAACTAAAACATACTAAAACTCTATTGAAATTTCAAGGTTTGCTGCAAACAAACGGCAGCCAAGTATCCAGGAATTTCAAAAAAATGCACCAGAGCTGGGACCAAATTTCAACATGAAACAGATGGTTATGTCATGTTGTGTCGGTAGAATCATCAAAGGTGGGATTCAAGTTGTTTCACGTTCATAGTTTTCCTTCCAGTAGCACATTTAATCTATACAGGTTGGTGGTTTCAACCCCTCTGAAAAATATTAGTCAGTGCGGATGATTATTCCCAATATTTGGAAAAATATAAAATTTTCCAAACCACCAAACCAGATAGATTGATATTTTTTTCGGCTTCCCCGGGTCCTGCACAGCCCGTCGCAGTACTGGCTCCGAAATCGGACCTTGGAGCGGAGGCTCGAAGCCTGTGAAAGTGCCAAGCGGCACTAAGTATGGCTTAGCTAACCCGTATAAACCACCGAAGGTATAGGTGACAATGCACAAATAGTCGGACATGACATTGTCGAATCCCAGAAACGGATTCTTACGGTGGTTGCGAATCAGTCTGATACTATCAACAAATGGATGTCAATCCCTAACTGAATAAACCCATCCTTTAAGGGCTTAGAAGCCAATTGATATAAACCCATTGACAATTGAGAAGTTTGGGTGATAGATGTTTGTGTTCACCCTTTGATGAACAAACATATATTGTTCTATTATTTCTTTAATGCCAACCCCGAATTAAACAACCCTCAATGTATTAATATGGCGAGTTTCCAAAAAAGCTATATTTCATAATGGTGCCCCCTATTAGTAAACTAGGGGATTTGTTGATAGTACTAACATATACCCACCTGTTGCTTTACTAGCACTAGTTACATTTCGATGAACAGATACTTGTCCAATAAGAAAACTCCATTTATAGTGGATGTTCCGTTGGGTGGCTTTATTATTGCTGTACTCACCATAGTCCCTAATGTACTAAAATTAGAATATTATGCCTAATAATCTAAATGCTTATTGAAAATCATACGAAATTTCCATCATTACCCGACAAAACATAGCTACGTATGGAAAATCACGTTGTTTACAGGCAAATCAACTATAAATGACAATTTTCAGTGTCTAGGTTAAATGACCAGAAGGTATAGGTATACCAACTATAAATGACAATTTTCAATAGCTATGTTAAATTAACAGAGGCGACTTGGTAGTTCATCCCACGAATCGTAAGTAACCCCAGTTACAAGTAGTGGATTCCTACACTTCGTCCAGTTCTGATTGGGGTGAACTAAGCCTTTGGACCGATTCCTGAAATCCCATCCAGTCCTATTAAATCACCATTAAACCACCATTAAATCCCATAAAAACACATTAAGTCCCATCAAACCACCATTAGATCCCGTAAAATCCCATTAAACCACCATTAAACCACCATTAAACCACCATTAGATCCCATTCCCATCTTCCAGACATCCGAACGGTCCCAAGGTTTGGTTTCGCCACCAAAGTGACGTTGGCAATAGAAGCGCCAGCCGCAGACGGAGCCCCACATCATCCCCCAAGCCGGCCACTCTTGGCCGACCACCTGCACCGTACTAAGGTGGGGCCCTAAGATGCTGGGATTGCATGGTGGTTTCATGGTGGTTTAATGGGATTTAATGGGATTTAATTAGATTTTAGGGTGGATGATGGAAATCCTAAAATGATCTAAAATGCCTATGTCCTCTGTGTTGTTCTCATTTGTTCTCGTTTTTTTTTTTCGGGGGTATCACTAAGGAAAACCAATCTTGACTAACCCCCACTGATCTGGACCCCTTCTTTATGTTAGGGATTTTATGAAGGACTTTCCAATCTTAGGCGTCCTAACTATATACCCTTCCAAGGTAATGTCAACCCTGGATTAATAAACCCCGTTTACGGCTGGTTAATTGGGGGGGGTACCATAAAAAAGTATTGGATGAAATGACTATTGGAGGAGTACCCCCCTAATTAACAAACCACAATTTACTATGGAAAAAACAACCATTTCTATCCATTTTTCATGGGAAAATCCACTATAAATGGTGGTTTAGCAAAATCCGGGCTTGACATTACCAAACCTTTCTCCACTCCGCTGCGACTCCGTGCCTCCGCATCCGCTTGTTGCGCCGGTAAGATATGGATCTGACCCAAGAGTTCCCCTGATGCAGATCAGGAGGCATCGCGTCGTCCCCTGAAATGTCTGTCTTATCCCATCTATAAATGGGTGATTTGATGGTGATTTCATGGGAAATAATCGTATCTAACGATATCTAACGGTATTTCATAGGATTTGCATGGGATTTTCATGGGATTTACCAGGATTTAATGGTGATTTAATGGTGATTTAATGAGATTATAATTGGGATAGAATGGAAGATTCATGTAATATCAATTGAATATTGATGGAATATTGGATATTGGTTACTAACATGTTACAATGGCAATGGAATCTAACTCATTTTAGACGGTTAGATAAGCATAGATAACCATGGTTGTAACAATGGAATCTAAGATGTCCCATCTATGAAATAACCATGGTTATTACCCTCCGGTGTCATCAGCAAAATGGCTAGCTGGGAAACCTCCACAGCAAATGGAGGTTTAGTTCGCTGGGAAAATCATTGAACAAGCCATGGTAGATTTTCCAACAAGCCATGTGACTGATTACCCGGAAGGTGCCCTCTGGTAAACTAACATAGCTATGGAAAATCACCATTTTTAATGGGCAAATCAACTAGAAATGGCAATTTTCAATAGCTATGTGGCTATGTTTGTTTACCGGAAGAAAATCACTTGCATACTAAGTGGGTTGATCCTCCAAACATGGGCTAATCAAAAAATGGTGAATCATGACCCGTTCAAAACTGTAAGCAGATCTCGCTTTTCCACACTCATAGAGAACTCGATGTATCTCTTAATCTTAATCTATATGCATTTAATCATGTAATCATACAATGTGAGGCCCCCAAGATATAAGTTGGTTTATAAACTCCAGTAACTAGTTCGTTATAAATACCATAAACCATATATGCCATATAGTGAAGTTGGAGTTATAAACGCACCAACTGAACGCTATCGAACGGGGGCCTCACTTCGCAGGACTTTGGCTTAGAAATCCACCAGTATTACGCTGGGGCCAATCTAAACCCTCTAACGAACCGACTTTTTCCGAATATTAGCGCTTGACGCATTGTTGGTCGGTGTTCAAAAACCATCCATAAAACATCAACCATCTTACCCTCTGGTAAACTAACATAACTATGGAAAATCACCATTTTTAATGGGAAAATCCACTATAAATTGCCATGTTCAATAGCTATGTTAGTTTACCAGAGGGTAAATTTATTAGGCAGTGCCATGATTACTAGCACAATCCACCTAGTTCCTTTCTCGTTTAGGGATGGGACATTGGGTACCGCATGGTACCCCCAACATGAGATACTTACTATTGAAACAGCCAAGTTCTTCAAGAGGCTCTGGCAACCTGGGATAACATGTGGATCATATAGCATCAAAATATATCAAAATAGTAATATTATCCATACTATGGCTGATAATATGGTATATGACAACGGGTTGATAATATTATATTACTATTGGTCCATACTAAAGGGATATCAATCAAAACAAAATGATCCCATACTGTTGATCGGTGAAAAAAGTCCCTCGGATTTAATAACACCAACCATGGGTGGGGATATGACTTATATAATCCATACATGTATATATATATATATAAATTATAGGTATCCATATATATATATATAATCCATATAAACTATAGGGCTCTACTACAGGATTTTCACCAATCAGCTTCCACTTTGTTGATCCAGGCCATCCGCTGCCTAGATTTCGACATTTCTGGGCGCTCGCTGGCAGCTGCTTGCCCTTTCGCAACAAGCTACTCATCAGCTTAGCAAACCTCGCGTCACGATTGAAACTTGAGAATTGTTTTCGACAACAAGATGTTCCAAAAAAAAACGGTTCAACCTGTTTTCTGGATGTATCATTGTTGAACAAATCCATATCAGAAAAAAGTGGTGATTTGATCAACAATTTGCATAACTGAACATGCCGTTGTTCAACGCAACATCGCCATACTTTGGCATACTATGTTCACTGGGCATCCACTTAAGGACTTGTCACCATCGTCCGGCAATCGGAATCCAACAAAGCTGGGAAAATCCACAGAGATCGCTGGGAAAATCAACGATTTGTAAATCCATCCATTGCCGAGCCACGTTTTGATAATCGGAGGGGGAACATTTGCTGGGGGATGAAACATGAACAGAACATAACCAGAGGGTAATATGCTTAACCATTACTAGTTGGTGGTTTGAAGCCCTCTGAAAAATATGTAAGTCAGTTGAAATATTAATGGAATATTAATGGAATATACTGGTTGGTGGTGCAATAACCATCTTGAAGAATGATGGAGTGAAAGTCAATGGGGTTGGGATGACATCCCATAAATGAAATGGAAAATAAAACTCATGTTTGAAGCCACCAACCAGATGTGTTGCGGGATGAAACATGAACAAAACACGTTTTTTTTTTCATCTGTGTTCTAAGTTTTGAATGATGTTTCTTCGCTGGTGACTCCCCAATCGCAAAAGGATATAGGCAGCACATCCAGTCTTCACCCACACGCACCAAGAAGATATGATTCCCAAACCAATCATGGCCAATTTGGACTGCCCTGCAACAAAGAAATACTCGGCTGGTAAATTAAATAGGATCAAACGTCCTGCCCTTTGCCAATCGGTTTTACCCACAATCTGGCTGCAGTTTGCATGTTGTTTCAAAAATTGTGAGTTCAGTGCATCTTTTTTGATCTGCATGCTTGATGCAATGAACAAGTCTGTAAGATCCTATGAGGCCCCATTTGCAATACAGTTGACTCACCATGTTTGGTGCTTCAATCACAATGGCGCTGGAAACTCTGCTAGCGTTTATCACAGTTAGTCAGTTTGTACAGTGTGAGGCCCCCAAGATATAAGTTGGTTTATAAGCCCCAGAAACTATACTTATAAATACCATAAACCATAGTGAAATTGCAGTTATTTGCACCAACTTAGCTATCGAACGGGGGCCTCACATTGTAGGCTTAATCATCCCAGTAAAAAAAGTGGGATAATCGGGATAATGGCTTAAATGTCCTACTATCCATTACTATCAACCATTATCAACCATTATCAACCATCATTAACCATCATTAACCATATATTATATAGTATTATAATATATCAACCATATTACCCATATTAACCACATATTAACCACATATTAACCATTATCAACCATTATCAACCTGGATCATGGCTTAATCACCGGTGAATCAACGGGGTTTTCCACGAACCAAAAACCTGGAAACTTCTCCGTCGCGCCTCATGGAATCGATGCCCAGCAGGTGATCCTCCAAAGAGTTGAAGCTCCATCCCAAGGCCTCCCCGGTCGTCGAAGTCATGGTGGTCACCCTTAGGGAGAATGGTATGAAAATATGGTGAAATATGTGGTTAATATGTGGTTAATACATGGTTAAATATGGTTAATACATGGTTAAATATGGTTAAATGTTGCTAAATATTGTTAATACATGACATGGTTAATATATGGTTAAGATATTATCAAAATATGTGGTTAATGATGCTTAAATATGGGTGATAATGGGTTTCCTAAGTCATGGGGGTACCCCCAGCTCGCTGGTTGATAATGGGTGATTAAGATGGTTAATATAGTACCCATTGGATCCATGTATGATATATATATATGGTAATATTTACCATCCATATACCCCAAATGTTAGCATATATACCATACATGGATCCTATGGGGTATATAAATTTATGAAAATATATGGTTAATGATGGTTATGGTGTTTTTTGAGAAAGAAGTCATGATGGTCGCACCAAAATTGGGAGAGAAATATGGAATTCCATGGTATTTAAAAATTTAGGTGATTAAGCTGGGTAATACAATGCAATATATTATATAATATTTGGTTAATGATTGTTTATAATGGGTGATAATGGGTTTCCAAAGTCATGGGGGTACCCCCATGGCTCGTTGGTTTATTTAATGGAAAATCTGAAAATCTTTAGTGGATGATCTAGGTGTACCCTCATGACTTAGGAACCTCCAATTATATATTGATGAATTACCTGGTGATGTAATTAATTCATGAATCTATTATATATTGATGAGTTAAGATAATTATGTAATCATAATCTTAACCTATTAATGATCTGTAATTAATATTATGTAATTACTATTACTGTCATGGTAATAATGATGGCCACAATTGTTAAAGGCTATTGTTGATGATTCGTTGTTACATGTATTGATTATCAAATAATTAGAATGATTACCACGTGGTAGAAGTACTATATTGATAACTACCATAGCATTGTTGATAACTATAGTTGGATCATGGTTGTTAATTGGCTAATTACAAGGACTATCTGACAATTAACAGTTGATCAATTAGTTGGTCAAACAGTTAGTCAACTGATAGTTGGTCAGTTAATTGTAATAGTCATTATTAATTATATAATTAGTACCTCAATGTATCTCAATAGCTATTCGAATTTCCAAGTCAAATTGCTATGAATACTTCAATTGGTTGCTTGTCGGCACGATCAGTCAGTAAAGGTCCAATAACCTGAGATTATGTCGTCTGCTGACAAGTCAATTTGTTATAAAAAAGGCTGAGTTGGTTACTTGGTGTCCAATGAGATTCGTCAACTAGTGTGGGTAATTAGTAAACAACATTCAATGATTAAGATTGATAATTATCAATTGGGTAGTACGAATGATCACAATAATTTAACCATATATTTACTTCAATTAGTCATATGATCAGAGTTAATTGGTCAGTAGGTGGCCGGTAGTTGAATGATTTCAAGGAACACGTAAACTTGTTGATGTCAACAGTACTTACAACTGACAATAAAGATTATATTTATTGGAAGTCGAATAATACAATGTGAGGCCCCCCAGTTATAAGTTGGTTTATAAGCCCCAGTAACTATAGTTATAAATACCATAAACCATAGTGACATTGGAGTTATAAACCAACTTAGCTATCTTGGGGGCCTCACATTGTATGAATAATAAACAAATGATTCATGGGTCAGTTCACGAACGGATCCATGATATAGTGCGAACGATGTATGGTTAAAATACAGTCAGACTGCCAACATTTTTTAGGTTTGTTGAAGAGACAAACAATAAAAACACAACAAACATCAACACAAACAAATGGTGGATTGACCAATATGGAAATTAAAACCGCTTCGACTACGGGATATGTAGAGATTGCCCAAGTTGGAGGTTTAGTCAAAAAATGGGGATATGAGCTTGACAACATTGGATATGACAACACACCCTTGTATCTTGTCCAGTTCAGCGATCTACAGCCCCAAAAAGCGAGGTGTGGTTTTTTGGTCCACAATCACAAGCACATGGGACTTTGTTCAGCCAATTCATCGATCAAATCCCACTGTAAAACCACTAATGTGTGTAAAACAATGCCATTTGCACCATCCTCCAGTCATCACCATAAATAGGTGGTATGTTTACCATTCCCAGTCCTAGGTGGTTTATGACATTGTTTTAGCCACATCAAAAAAAAACAAAAAGTCACTAGTTGGTACACTTTCTAGTTGGTTTGATCATTTGATCCCCATCTTTTCTCGGTTTTTGACACTTCTGAATGGGCACATCTTTTCAAACCGCCCATGTCCCAGCTGCCTCTTCTACTTCCATCCACTCAGCGCTCTTAAGCACCGCAGATCCGTTCCCGCCGTTCGCCGCACCGGTTCCACCCGTGGTTCCCATGGTGCCATCCAAGTCCCTGGCGAAATGAAGCACCTCATCTCTGGTGCCGAAAATTTCATGGAACCTCTGCTGGTGGTTATCTATCTATCTATCTACCTATAGGTTAACATTGATCTATATCTATCTATCTACCCATTATTCCTGGTTGAACATGGGGGATTTTGTTTCCTTGGGTTAACATAGATGAACAACTGGTTGCTGGGATAGGTGGTTTGAACCTACGAGTTAACGTCAGTTGGGATGATGACATTCCATCCCCAACTGAATGAAAAGTCATAAAAATCCATGGTTCCCAACCACCAATCAGTCTGGAAGGGAATTCTTTCACCGGTGAACATGTGCCATTACAAACTTCCGATGGTTGCTTCAGCAAGAATCACAAATGCCGGGCAAATTCAGTGAATGATTGGCGCGTTTTCTGCTGAACCAATGTGAATCTAAGAAGTATTGCTGAGTCAAAAAAATGCATGTAAAACGGCGACAATTCCAATGATGCAATTTGGATAGGTTTTTTCAAAAGGCACTTGTTGTGTGGCCTGGCCTTTTTTGTTGCTGGTTTGGTCGCACATGTATGTTCGACCAAACCACGTTCGCATCAGTGAGCCAATGTGCAGTAGATGACTCGCGCAGAAACTGCTTGGCCCTCTATCTCAGCCATAGAACTCATCTGGTTGATTTACCTATAGAAAATAGTTGATTTACCTATAGAAAATGGTGATTTACCTATTGAAAATGGTGATTTACGTATGTACACATAATATTTTCTGGTTGATTGTGCAATTTGCCCATCTTGAAAAATGATGGAGTGAAAGTCAATGGGGTTGGGATGACATCCCATATATGAAATGGAACATAAAATTCCATGGTTTGAACCACCAACCAGTCATTGTTATAAGTTATAAGCTGAACAACTATGTCTTAGCTTAACGCATGGCACACAGACACTAAAATCACTCGCTTTCGTCCTCCTGAGACCTGGACTCCTGGACCTGGACCAAACAGTGGTTGATCATCGTTTTCCCATTATTTTAAGTAATGTGAGTAAAACAATGCCATAATAAACCACCCATTTTACTGGGAATGGCAAGTTTCTACCACCTATTTTTAATAATGATGACTGGGGGATGGTGCAAATGGCATTGTCTTATCCACATTAACTGGTTGGTGGTTTCAACCCCTCTGAAAAATATGAGTTCGTCAATTGGGATGATTATTCCATTCCCAACTGAATGAAAAGTCATAAAATTCCATGGTTCCAAACCACCAACCAGTTATAGATCATTAAAATTCCTTAAACATGTTCCATCAACCATTACCACTACTAACCACTAGGAAAAACCATCACATGTATTCCATCACCAGACATTTTTTGTTCAAAAAAAACATCAACCGAAAAATTCCCGACACGAATCTGACGGCGTTCCAAGGTGCCAGTGGCCGCACTTCCGTGCCCCGTGGGGTTTGGAGCAGTCCATTGCCCGCGGCGGCATCCGCTGCATGTGATGCCGAAGCGGGCACCGCTCCGGCTCCCACGAGATCTCGTGGACTCACCGCCTCAGCCATGGAAAGGAAATGCACAACGGAAAGCATGGGAAAATATATGGGAAAATGGTGGTTTCATGGTGGTTGAACTATGTTGAACTAACACTATAACAAAAAATCTCCTGATTTCTTTGATTTAAGGGAAATTCAAAACTGTAAGTGACGTTGTTTCCATCAGACTTAGGTGTTTCGTGTAAATTTTGCCTTCAACTAATTCCGGCATTCCAGGATTCATACTTCCAAGTACGACATTTGGCCCCTGAAAGAAACACACCTAATTCATTGCACTACGTTTCTTTTGGGGGAAGTATTGAAGATTGGAGGAAAGGGATTAGTTTCCCTGGACCTGGGTAAATGCTTCTTCATATCTCCTTTGTAAACATAACCAATAGGTGATGTTCCAACCTAAAACCCAAGGGCACTGATTTTTTGGAGATGGTCAACAACAACCGTGTAACAATGACATTGATTATGTTCAACCAACTTGAATAACTTACGGCTTCATCTGACTAGTGACTAGCAGTTCATCTGACAGGAGTTGGTTTCTATAGCCTCTGGTAATTTAACGTAGCTATTGAAAATGGCCCAGTCGAAATAGTGGATTTTCCCAGCTAGATAGAAAATGGTGGATCTTTCCAGTTCGTTTTTTGTTAACGTTTACCAGGCCGGGTAGCTTACAGTAATGCCTTGCCCCTAATGATAAAACACCCAAAGATCATAGGGGGACATTGTAGGACCATGCAGCCATGCAGGGGATGGCTTGATCCCATCTTTCTAAGTTGTTGAAAGGTTGTTTTAATCATATAGAAAGTTCATTTATGGGGTTACAAAATCCCAATTGAATATATACTGATATACTGTTTATAATGGTTAATGTATGGTTATAATATAGTTAATGATGGTTAATATTAACCTGGTTGGTGGGTTTTTTCCGACCCCTCTGAAAAATCATGGACTGAAAGTCAGTTGGGATGATGACATTCCATTCCCAACTGTTTCTGGAAAGTCATAAAATTCTGGTTCCAGTTACCACCAACCAGTAACCATATGTTTATCCTATATTAACCACACGTTCATATCCCTCGCTGTGTTGCCGCTCGCTGCCTGATTTGTCACTTCCATTGGCACCGGACCAGATTCTTCCTGCGTGCATGCACACTGTTGTCATGAACATGTTTTACACATATGATATACTGTAAATATATATATATATATTTAATGCATACAACATATATTATATATATTATATGACGTTATGTATGTATATATATAAATACATCTATCTACATATACATAAATATATAAACAATTGTATATACAATAATATAAATATATACGGGCTATATGGGCTGTAAAAATATTAGATTGTCATTGTAATCATTGTCATTAAATGTTAGTAATCAAAAATACTATGTCTTAACACTATCATGATACACATATGTTTTTAACTAGTTCCATAGTTAATATAATCATCCTGAAGCGGATAGAATATCACATGTTTAATCATATTCCCACTTTTGTGGCGACGATGTGTTGAAATCCATATTCTATCAAAAAAAAACGTTACAACAGCTGGAATGTGATTGACATTGCTGATATTATATCATACTACAGTATCAGACTGTAATATGTATATATATATATATATAAGCACATCAAGGACACCCCGATATTATGATACATCCTGGATTGATATGTTGGTATCAAGTTGAAAGCATCTATAATATCTCACATTGATACCAGATTGTACATAATATTGAACATATTATATCTACTTCGGGATTACTATATACATATGTAATATATATATATATATATATATATATATTATACCTACAAATGATGTATATATATATTATACATATTTATACGTAATATATATATATATATATCATTATAATATATCTACATATTATGTGTATATATATATATATATACATCTTACATTATCATTGACTTACTTCCCTCTTGCGTTGACACATCCATGACACCTCCAGCGTTGCGCCTGTGTTGCCTCGGTCTTCTGTCGTTTCGGCGGGGACTCCAAGGCGTTTGGCAGGTGATTGACCTGGCCGGTCCGAAAAAAAAATGAGGGAATCATCAGAAAAAGACAAAGACAAGGGGATTTATGGGGATTTATAGGGATTTAATGGGGATTTAATGGGGATTTAATGGGGATTTAATGGGGATTTATATGGTTTTGTAGGGATTTATATGGATTTATAGGGATTTATATGGATTTAATGGGGATTTAATGGGGATTTGATGGGGATTTAATGGGGATTTATGGCC